TTCCCTTAATATTTTTCTTTTCAGCTTGTTCAAGTGTATTTATATATAGCTTGACAAATAGGGAAGAAGTCCTCTCTTGTGTCGTCCCATTTTAGGCCACGAGGGTTTTTGGGCTTCTAGCACGGGCCATCGTCCCTTCTGTTGACAACGAGGGTACAAGTGCACGTTTGGCGATCCCCTGCGAGCGCAATTTGGGTGCATGAACTTATCGTCTTGGTGTCGATGGCTTGTTGGTGTTGGATTCATGCGTGCCCATTTGCAGGTTTTTTTTATTACACATATAAAGTTTTAGACTAATTAATTAGTTAATTAGCATTAGGAGGATGAAGATGGATTTGAAGTTTTTCCTCGACCTAGAGAGTAAGCTTTCTTCATTGAGGTGCCGCTACTTTGTGTTTATGAATTGATATGGCGATGTGTTCATTTTACTCATAAGTTTTACTTTCATTTTATATATTACCTTTGCATTATATTATACCATCCTTATTATTATTATTAGCGTCCGTGGCTAATCAAGTATGTACTTCCAAGGGAAAAAATTAAAAATTGCATTTGCTGATTAAGAAAATAGTAGAATTTTTTAGGACAATACACAAACGCCGTAAAAATATCCTTTTTTATGTTAGCGGTATGGCATCTAGTTAAATCAAAACGGAAAATATTAAGAATCCATTTGAAATATATATATATATATATTCTACAGAAAAAAAAATTACTATAAAAGATATTAATAACCGGTGAAATGCATACCAGATTTGTGGAAATACATCTCATGTCTTAAACCAAAATTGAAAAGTGCCAACTGGGTTTTCTAATTCTCTAATTTATTATTATTATTTGCTAAATTATTCTTTGTTTGCTCTTTTAGGTTAAAATTTCATTTTGGTCCCTCTACTTTAACAAAAAAACTGGTTTTAGTTTCTCTACTTAAGAAAATCCTTTTTTAATCCATAAAGCTTACTCTCTAATCCATTTTAATTCCTTTATTATTTTTTACACATGTGTTGCATTAAATGACAAAACTTTTAAAGTAAAAGGACTAATAATAAGCTTTTTTTAAGTAGAGGAATTAAAAAGGAATTTTTTTAATCTATTTTAGTCCCTAATCCCTCTACTTTGAAATTTTTATTATTTAACGTGTTATGCATGTCAAAAAGATAATAGAAGAACTAAAAACTAGTTTTAGTTGCTCTATTTAAAAAAATCCTTTTTTAATCCATAAAGTTTATTATCTAATCCATTTTTAATTCTTTTAGTATTTTTTGCACATGTGGTGCATTAAATGACAAAACTTTAAAGTCAAGGGACTAATAATAAGCTTTTTTAAATAAAGCAACTAAAAAAAATTTAATCTATTTTTAGTCCTTGTACTTTAAAATTTTTATCATTTAACGTGTTATGCATGTAAAAATAATAATAAAAAGAACTAAAAGGAGGTCGAATAATAAATTTTAGAGACTAAAAATAAACTTTTTTTAAGTGAAAAGACTTTAAAAAAAAAGCTTTTGTTAAAGTAGAAAACCAAAAATGAGATTTGAGCCTTTTTTTTTTTGTTTTTTTGGCTACGATTACTTGGCATCACAAAAATTTAAACTTTTAACATTAACCTTAAATCAAGGATTTTAAACTTGTAAGTACTTATTTTTTAATAGCAAAAAGTAATATTTATTAAAAAATGGAATACAAGGGTACTTCGAACCCATAAACATCCCAACTTGAAAGAAATTTGTAAGTACTAATTTAACCAAAATTTTTAAATTTATGGGTATTAATTTGATCAAATTCTCATGGGTCTTCTTTGTTTGTTTATAGGAAAATGATTTTGAAACAACTTTTTGTATCATTTTTTAGTACAATTTGACGTTTCACTTAGATAATTAATTATTTTAATTCATGTAAGAATCGTAATATTAAATGTATAACATGTAAAAATTAGGTTTAAGTACCATTTTGGTCCCTCAACTTTACACTTTGGTA